CCCCTCACTTCCCTCTCCCCTTTCTCCCTTCCTCAAGAGAGAAAGAAAAAGAAAAACGAAACATCTCCAGCTTTGTCCCCTTTCGAGGGTCGAGAAGCCCCTTCGCAAATGGGGCTCCGCCTTCTGTCCTCTCATCTCTCATCCCCCATCATCATCAAAGAAGCTCTCTGCAGTTCATTATCCACAAAGTCTTCTCCCACACTTCAGGAGTTCCCCCCCCTCCCCCAAGCACTTTCTTTTTCAATCCGTCATGATGCGCTCCTCGTCCTTGTCCCCCCTCCCAAATCGAGGCTCGGCCTAGGATCTCGCCCAATGCACGTTCCGCCCCTCGCGACGATGTCGAAGTACACGCGGAGATCTATTTGTGGATCAGAGAGGCTGGGCAGAGCGAGCATGTCCCAAGCTCCCGCTTCACGACGCTACCTCTCACTACTGTGACCGTGCGTGGTGCACCAAAAGACACACTACGGCCGCCATTTGTACTTCATTCAATCGACATTGCCATTTCGTGAGGTGGATTTCAGGGAGGAAAAGACGAAGGTGTGGCTTGGGAAGGGGAGCAGGACAGAGAGCACTCGAGTGTGTCACACCACCATGCAGTCGAGGACGCACAGGACAGCAACGCCACCATTCCGCGCCAGCTACGTCGAGCAACAGCAGCAAGAGCAGCCTATTGACCAATGTGAAAGTCGATGTGGCGCTTAGAAGCACTTTCTGTGCACGATGCTGGGACCAGCCTCGTCGTACTCCTGCTTCGAAATCCACATCTGTTGGAAGGTGGAAAGCGAAGCCAAGATTGAACCGCCGATCCACACAGAGTACTTGCGCTCCGGAGGGGCGACGATCTTGACCTTCATGCTGCTCGGCGCAAGCGCCGTGATCTCCTTTTGCATACGGTCCGAAATGCCCGCGTACATGGTCGTACCTCCGGACATGACAATGTTGCCGTACAGGTCCTTTCTGATGTCCAGATCGCACTTCATGATGGAGTTGTAAGTGGTCTCGTGGATACCGCTGGCTTCAAGACCCAGGAAGCTGGGTTGGAAGAGGGCCTCGGGAGCGCGGAAACGCTCGTTTCCGATGGTGATGACCTGACCATCTGGCAGCTCGTAGCTCTTCTCCAATGCAGAGGATTGAGAAGCAGTCTGCATCTCCTGCTCAAAGTCCAAGGCGACGTAGCAAAGCTTCTCCTTGATGTCTCGAACGATTTCGCGCTCGGCAGTAGTGGTGAAGGGGTAGCCGCGCTCCATGAGGATCTTGACCAAGTGCTCCGTGAGGTCACGACCAGCAAGGTCAAGACGCAGAATAGCGTGAGGCAAGGAGTAACCTTCGTAGATGGGAACAGTGTGGGTAACACCATCACCAGAGTCGAGCACGATACCAGTGGTACGACCGGACGCGTACAAAGACAAGACGGCCTGAATAGAAACGTAGAAGGCGGGGGCGTTGAAGGTCTCGAACATGATTTGAGTCATCTTCTCCCTGTTCGCCTTGGGGTTCAAAGGCGCCTCAGTGAGAAGGACGGGGTGCTCCTCGGGAGCGACACGCAGCTCGTTGTAGAAGGTGTGGTGCCAAATCTTCTCCATGTCGTCCCAGTTGGTGACAATGCCGTGCTCAATGGGGTACTTGAGAGTCAAGATACCACGCTTGGATTGAGCCTCGTCGCCGACATAAGAGTCCTGCATCGTTCGAACGAACGACCAAGCCAAGCGTCAGCATTCTAATTCATTTCCAACTGCTGATGCCAGAGCGCTCGGAGTTCTTGGGCATCGACGACGCTCTTTCTCGCTGCTCATCGACCTCATCGACATGCGAACTCACCTTTTGGCCCATTCCGACCATCACACCCTGGTGGCGAGGGCGTCCAACGATGGACCTGCGCAAAAGAGTCTTGACGTATAAGCATCCAGGATTCGCGCATTTGTGCGACCCCTCCCCGCTGCTTTCCACACGCGCGTTGAGGTGGCCACGTTCAGAGAGCGAACCACGTGCGCCAGGAAACGAGGGATTTGCCAGCATTTTCTGAGGCCACTCGGAGCAGCTGTGGCTCTGCGGAGAGCACCCAGCAGCGGCCTCTGCTCTTTGACATCATACTTTCCAATTCACCCTTGCTGGTCTCATGGTACCACTCGCGCACTGCAGCCGTGCCTCCTTCACGATCCCGGCAGCGGCTTTGGAGACCCGTATCGCTACTCACGGGAAGATGGCTCGAGGAGCGTCATCGCCGGCGAAGCCAGCTACAGATAGAGCGACACAAAGGTGACAAGGCCAGTCAGATGGTGCTCGAACGATCGCTGTCCAAAGCGTGATCAGCAATGACTCACCCTTGCACATTCCGGAGCCATTGTCAATGACCAGCTGAATGACCAAGCGCAGAGCAAGCAAGGCAGACGTCAGATTTGCACGCACATATAAGCAAGCATGTATCGAGCGGCTGCAATGCAGAGAGCAAACCACCTCATCGACACTTACGGCGGCAACCTCGTCTGCAGAGGCGGGTCAATAGGAAGGGCAAGAGAGGAGAGGGAAACAAGAGAGCGGTCAGAGGAGCCATTAGAAGCCAGAGCAAGACAGCACAATCGGAGCAATCCACATCGAGCACAGCTTCTTCCCTTCCATCAATCTTGCGACGTTTGCCGAGTTCAATGTTGAACGCCCAGTCGAGACACTCACCCTCCATGTTGACTTCTGTGACTTGGTTGGGGTGTGAGAGAAGAGTAAGAAGGACGTTTGTGGAAGGTGGTAGAGGTCGAGCGCAAAAGCTTCAAATGCGCAAGGGCAAGACGTCAGGATGGTGGTAGGATCAACGAGTCCGCAAGTGGGGTGTGGTTGGGAAGAGAATCGCCTCAGCTCGGTGCTTAGCAGCAGTCAGGATCCCAATCAAACTAAACAAACGGCGCGGATGGGCCATGCCATCCCATCCACGCAAGGCAAGGCAAGGCAAGGCAAGGCAAGGCAAGGCAAGGCAAGGCAAGGCAAGGCAAGCCAAGGCAAGGCAAGCCAAGCTCAGCGCAAAGACAGCAGCAGACGCAGACGGCCAGGCCAGGCCAGGCCAGCAGCCCCTTTGAGCGCGCGCGAGAGAGCATCTCGCTGATGTGCGCACGCACCATGGGCGCACGCGCGGCGCGGCGCGGCACGGCACAGCAGTCACAGTCACAGTCGCGAGTGGCGCTCTCGCACGCTGGCGCTGCTGCATCATATATGGATATGCATGCATGCATGCACAGGGCGCGCACGAACGAGAAGGTCAGTCAAGTCATCCAGCATCCCAAACAGCGCCAGCCGTGCTGTCAGCGCGGCTGTGCGGTTGCACCCAAAAGCCCACCAGCCCACCAGCGCACGGCCGCGCGCGTGTGCTGGCCAGCAAGCAAGCATGCATGCATGCATGCAGCAATGACAACCGCGCGGCGGGCGCGCAAACGCGGACGCGTACGCGTGGCGGTGAGCGCGCGCTGGCAACATCCCCATGCAGCATCCTATATAGCTGGTGGCTACAGCCGCACAGCCCCGAACAGCAGAGTGTCGGCATCTCGCCACTCTCGAGACCCGCAAGATTACGCTGGCTGCGCGCTAAAGGGTGACTCTGACTCAAACTGCTGTTTGTGCAGCAGCATCAGCAGCAGCAGCAGCAGCATCTTCTTGATTGATTGAGCTAGAGCGTGGCCTCACATCGCACTCGCCCTCGGGTCTTTTTAGATAGAGCCACGTGGCTTCAAGCAATCACGAGTCAACCGTCCGCTTCCCACTGGCCTTTGGCGCGTCTCTCCACCTCGATTTCAAACCATGCATGCCTCTGTGCGAAGCAGGCAGTAGCTTCTCGATCATCAGGCTCGGCAGGTCGCATGAATATCCATGCTGGTCAAGTCGTCCAAGCCTTCAACTCAACCCATCTGTGCTGGTGGCGGTGGGGAGTATTGTGTCACCAGCAAACGTATCATACTCCTATGCTCAGCGCGAGGAGCAAAAGGTGCTGAACGACCTGAACAAGGTCCGAGACGGCATGATCAGCTGAGCTTGCGCAGAGCCGAGCCGCTCCTCTGCGCGCAGCCACTCGCTCAGATTGCTGCGCAAAGGGTCTTTACAGATCTGGATTAGCATTGCGAGCCGGCATCTCGTCCTCGAAGTCGACAGCAAAGGAGAGCTCGCTGATGAGGCTCACAGAGAAGGTGAGTGGCACTCGCTTGCTGAGTCCTGCAGGGAATGGGCATGGGCATCAAGCAGGCCCAGTCCCCCCAAGTCTCTCCGGACCCCTCAGCTGTCGCCAGACAATTCGGCCAAGTCCGTCGCGCACTCCGTCTATTCTGCGTGATTGTACGTGCGACGGGAGGTTCTCGAGTCGCAAGGCTCGACTGAGCCTTTTCACTGCTTGGCCAACAACATCGTTCACTCTTTTGAGCGCCTCCGTATCTGCCCTTTCGGTCTACGATTCATGCTGCATGGGTTCGTTTGGCGAGGCTACATGTTAACAGCGATCGCATACAGGGGAAGCTCTTCTTCTCTCCACCATCACTTTGCGCGGCTTGCGCACTCGCTGACCCGCTCGAACTCTTTGTAGATTCTGCACTACACTCCCTCAAACATCCCTTCCTCTGAGGCTCACGCTGCAAAATGCCCGATCCAAATTTACAAGCATACCTGGCTTCGCGCTATCTCTCCGGACCCAAAGCGGACGCCATCCTAGCTCGTTCAGTCGATGGCGAAGGGACCAAAAGGAAGCGCAAAAAGCGGCGTGCAAATGACGCGGCGGATCAGGAAGGTCTCAAGTTCACGTCTGCAGAGGACGAGAGCTGGAAGGGAAGCAGAGATGAGGATGACTTGCAAGCCGTCGTGGTGGATGATGCGGCTTCGCAGAGGAGAAAGTGGTCCAGGCTAGGTCAAACGAAAGCTGAGACGTCTCAGAGCGAGGTGGATGCAGAAACTTCCGCCGCAGATGCCAACGATGCGCGAGGATCACCTGCATCTGCGGGTCCTTCCAAGCCTCAATTCAAAGCTGGTCTCAAATCGCGCGAGGAGATGAAAGCAGAGCGTCTGGCCCGAGAAGAAGAAGCGCGAGCTAAAGCTCTGCAAGGAGAGGTCCAGTCAGGTAACTCGGAACCTGACACTTTTCGGAAAAGACCCAATGTCGAGCAGGAAGAGACAGTCTACCGTGACTCTTCGGGCCGAAAAATGGATCTGAAAGAGGAAGAAGCGAAGAGGAAGAGGGAGGAGGTCGAAAGCGAAAAGAAAGAAAGGGAGAAGGGCATGTGGAATGTGGGAGAGGTTCAAAAGAAGATGCAAAAAGAAGCTAGGGAAAGGGAGCGACTGGTCGGCATGGAGAACTTTGCTAGGTGAGCGCAATTTCCTGTCATGCAACAAGCTCGGCGCCCAGGCTTATGCTGGTCGATTTCACGCTTCACTTTTACAGAGGAGCGGATGACTTATCTCGCAACGCTGAGCTCAAGTCCGTTGAGAGAGCAGACGATCCAGCTCTGAGATTTCTGACCAAGAAGAGAGAAGAAGGGCCTCAAAAACCAAAGTACAAGGGACCTCGACCTCCACCCAATCGCTTTGGCATTTTGCCGGGCTACCGCTGGGACGGGGTTGACAGAGGCAACGGGTTCGAGGCAAAGTACTTTAGAGCTCGAAATGAAAGAGAGGACAGGAAGAGAAGAGATTACTGAGAGCTGTTGTTTTGTAACGCTCTTCCAAACGTTGCTATCCTCGTTGTCAAAGACGCCGGCTCAGCTGCTGCACGACGGATACAATAGGACCGGCTGCTCGTCTCGAGACCGATCAGACACCATGAATACTCGTACTTAAGGGCACAATATTTCATGTACCAAAGCGCACAAGACTACCCTCGGATCTGACTGCCTATCGAATGCGAGATTCATGACTTCTTCTTTCCCCCGCCTTTCGAAAGCGCCATCAGACATGTAAAGAGAAGCTGCGCAGAACTTTCTTTTCTGGTCCACTGCAGGTCTCGCTTGGACGCTGCCCTGCCTTTCGCGTTTACACGCTCGAACAGCACCGTGGGAAGCGCTGTAGCGATTTGTCAAGACACAGCAAACAAGATCAAACAGACTCGCGGGCCTCGCGAGACGAGCATCTGATTGACAGTAGTGGAATTGTCTGAATCGTCTCGCAATGCATCAACGCGTGACCGGCCTCAGCTGTCTTCCGATCCTGCCTCCGCATCCACCTGCCGAGCGCCGTCTAGCTTGACGCTCGCTTCTTCCGTCACCGCCGAAGCACCACCAGCCTCAGTAGCCTCCCTGGTCTGCTCAGCATCAGCACCGTTGGATGCGGCTGCAAAGGCCGCGGCCGCTTGCTGCTTGGCTCTCCACGCATGCGCCATTTGCAACAATTTGAAGCTGCTGGATGAGCCATCGTCGTCGTCAGGAAAGACCATGTCGTAGTACTGCGAAGTTGCAGGGCGAGAAGAAAAGGTCTTGAGCAAAGGGCACGACAAAGTTCTGGCATAGCACCGTGCAAATACTCACTTCTTCCAGACCTTCGCCGTCCGAAGTCTGTCTTCTCTTCTTGACGACACGAGGCATCTTCGCTTCCACGCTTTTCAGGTTTGCATTCTCTGCTGCGCCTTGCGCGAGCTCCTCGTCCAAATCGCCGTGCTGCGACTCGAAAGATTTCCAGGCTTCCAACAGCAGGACTCTCTGGATGGTTGAACGAAGGCAGACGTCATGTATCAGTCCAAAAAGATCCTTCGCAGATTACCGCAAAACGCTCCCGAGTCCAACTCGCCTCTTCTTTGAGTCCTCTTTGTTTTAAATCAGCATATGCACGCTCAAAGGTGTCCCTGCTCCTCTTTGCGGCTTCCCTTCTCTTTTCTCTCCTCTCGGCAATTTGTTCTTCTGTCAGCTGCTTGGGGGCAACCTCCTCCTCTCCTTCGTCCTCGTCCCCTTGATCCTCATCTTCCTCTTCAGCGATGGCTGCTCCAATAGAACTGTTGGCATACGAGATCCACACCTTGACGTGCTTCGTCTTTCGCAGCAACCTCTCGAATAGATCTTGCACAGCGCTCCATTGCCTCTCATCGAATTCAAAGTCGATGTAAGCCTTCCAAAGAACTTCGGGCATGTCCAGCTCAGGCTGCTTCGTGGCGAGCTCAAAGATGCCACGAGCTCGATCCATGTCGAAAAGGTTTCTTTCCAGCTCTGCAAAGCGAATCCAGGTCCTCGAATTGCTAGCGTCCCAACTCAGACACCTCTCGTAGATTTTCCTGGCTCGATCAAATTCTTTGAGACTGATCTCGAGATCGATGTAACCCTTGAACAGCTTCTCTTTCGGGCACAGACCTATCGATGTGCCGAGGATCTTGCGCGCAGCTGTCAGGTCTAACCTTCGCACCTCAAAAGCGGCGTAGTTGAGCCAGAGCTTCGCAAAGGTGAATTCCTTGTGCGGCACAAGCGCAACAGCAGCCTTGTAGACCTCGCGCGCCCTTTCAACGTCTTGAGCGTCCACCTCTTCAAAGAGCGCGTAGTCTAGCCAGAAGAAGATATACCGCCTCCAATGCCGCTTTTCTTTGGACGGCGGGATATTGGCCACTGCTCGCTCGTAGATGTCCCTCACCCTGGATTGAGCCTTTGTTGCCTCTTGCGAGTCGCGAGCTGCACCACCAGAGAGGATTGCCCTGTAAGCATCTTCCTCTAGCCTGGTGTAGTCGAACCACGTGTCGTAGTTGGTAGCAGCTCCAGGCAGGCCGCTGGTCACTTCTTCCTCGTACTGTATCCGTCTCTTGCCGAGCACGGTATCCTCGACGCCTTGTCGATTGCCAAATTGTTTCTCGAATCGCGTGTAGCTTGCGTAGATGCCGCTGCTTTTTGTTCTCGGCAGCCGTTCGAGTGCGTACCTGTAGATGACCCTCGCTCTCTCAATCTCCTTTGCTCTCGTTTCCATCTTTGCAAATGCAGTGTACACGGTCTGCGCCTTTTCCATCTTGTCCTCATCCTCGCCAAAATATTCGAGAGCCATAGTAAAGACGCGCCTAGCTCGATCCATTGCCCCGCGATCTTCCTCGAATTTGGCCCACCTGATCCACAGCTTGGGCTCAGGGTGCACGCTCACCGCCCTTTCCCAAACCGCAGAAGCATTCTCCAGCTCGTTGTAGCGCACCTCCATACCGACGTAGGCGGCCCAAGCCCTCTCATCGGGTTCCCAAGCCATCCACCTCTCAAACACCTGCCTGGCTCCCACGACGTTGGACAGCAGTTCCTCGAGATGAACATACTTGTACCAGAATTGATCTATGCGAGGCAAGATGGATACCGCGCGGTCCAGCAGATTGCGAGCGTGCTGAATGTTGCGCGACTTGAGTTCCAGATCGACGTAGCGCAACCAAAGCTGAGGATGCCGCGGATCGACATCCAGTGCGCGCTCGAAGACGGAACGAGCGCGAGGCAGCTCTCCTTGGGATGCCTCCCACTCCGCATACCGAATCCACGCGATGAACTGAGGCGAGCCAGAGGGAGATGTGATTCAGCTCAGCATTCGATCTCTTGGCGACACAACCATGTCATCACTCCTCCTCCTCCTCCTCCTCCTCCTCCGCGCCCTCGCCTCACCTTTGACTTGTCCTTTCTGACATCAGCTTCAAAGCCCGCTCGCTTTCTTCCTCGATATTCTTCCAGCTCTTCCAAATCCTCTACCCTCTGGGTGGCGCGTTTGAGCGGAGCTTCTTGCCTCTCTTGAGCTTCGCGAAGCAGCTGCTCAGCGCTGATCTGAACAGGCGCTGGTGCCCTGTTCTTGATGCGAGGCGCTCTCTCATCGCGTGACATGTTGCGCTGCGTTGGGCTGCGTTGCGTGCTTGTCCCGCCGTGGCTATGATGCTGCTCTTGCGAGTCGATGAGTGAAGTGGGGAGAGGGGGGGTTGCGCGGACCAAAGCCAAAGGGCAATCGAGCTGCGCTTGGACAGCGCAATGAGGGGCACTCAACTCCACTGGTGAACGAGTAGAGGCGCGCTTGCTGCCACGACTTGAAGAAAGAGATGGTGGATGAGGGTGGATTTGTGCTTCTGCTTGTACCCTTGCCCATAGCCTTGCCATGCACATTCACGATTCTTGATTCAGATTGTTCGCATGTTTCGCCATGCAGGTTACACCCACACCCTTTGCGCCCAAAGTCCTCGAGCGTGCCTCACGTGTTTTGTTAACGCGGCCCGCTCTGTGAATCACAAATCACAAATCAAATGTTGAATCACCAATGTAACTAATCATGAATCACATCACAAATGCACATCTTCATCACAATCAAATCGAATGTTGATGAAATCCATGCACTCACGACCACGGTAATCAAGATTGAAGATTGTGCCCTTCAAGATTGATGATTCAACTCTGGACACTCTGAGGTATATATCCTTATAATCCCTGGCTTTGGTATGATTTAGTCATATTGTTCGTGCGTTGATTCTTGATTGTGCTTGTTGCGTAAATTTGTGATGCGCTCTGGTCATTTTGTAACTTTGCTATCTGCACCTCAGCCGCAACTCCACATCCAAGCTCATCCCGCCGCCTCTCTTCCACGTCGCCGCACCACTGAAAGACCTTGATTACCATCGCTTCAACATGGCTTCTCTTTCCTTAGGCGCACCTCGCCGTCGGGGCGGGGCAAACAACAGCAACAGCAACAGCAACAGCAGCAGTGCAGCTTCAGCTTCCACTTCCAGCTCAACGCAGCCCGGCACTCGATCCAGCTTGTTAGCAGATGAGTCTATTCGCTCCACCGATTCGGACGCTTTGATCTCGCGCCTTTCAGCTTTGCAGGCAGGTTACCTTCCTGCTGAGAGGAAGGGCTCATCGGAAAGGAGCTCCTTTTCGCACTACCTATTGCCCATGGGCACACCTCTGCCTCTTCCCAAGAGACCTCCCATCATCAATATCGGCACCGCGCTCAGATGCCTCACCATCGATCAGCATGTGGAACGCTTCTTGCGGAAGGGCGATCAAAAGAAGCAGATCATCAGTCTGGGTGCAGGCAGCGATGCTCGTTATTTCCGCATACTTGTGAGTCCAAAAGCCCTGTACACCATCACGTCGTAGCAAGACGCGTTGCATGTCTCATGCTCCATGCTCTTTCAGGCCGACGAAGCTCTTTCAGCACGCCTGGCGCACTACGTCGAGCTAGACTTTTCACAATTGACACGCGCAAAGGTGGAGCGAATCGCAAGGGCGGATCCCCTGCGCAAAAGCCTGCAAGGTATGCGAGTGGGTGAGTGCAGCGAGCAGCAGTGCCACTTCATGTCGATACGTCCAAGCTAAGATCGGCCTTGTCATCGCCAAGCAGAGGCCAATGGAACAGCGCTCCGGAGTGCTTCGTATACCATCCTGCCCGGCGACCTGAGAGAGCTGGCTGATCCTAGCAAGTCGGCAGCACTTCAACACACCCTCTGGTCCATCCTCCATCCCTCTCTTCCCACTCTCATCTTGGCGGAATGCGTTCTCAGCTATCTGCCAGCGCAAGACAGCACGTCGCTCTTGAGCTTCCTCTCCCGTCGCTTCAACAACATCTCAGCACTGTCTTACGACATGTGCATATCCGGCTCGGATCGGCTTGGGGAAGCACCGAAACCCAGCAAGTTTGGCTCCGTCATGCTTTCCAATCTAGCAGCAAGGGGCCTGACTCTCGAGGGTGCCAAGGAATGCACCACGCCTACAGCTTATGCAGAGAAATTCTTGTCAGCTTTCGAAGCAGGCGCAGCCACGTTGGGGGATAGCAAAGTCGTAGACTCGGGTTGCACGAATCTCAGGCAGGTTTGGGCACAAATGAATGCCGAAGAAAGGTCGAGGTGAGTCGACCACTCACTTGGTCTGCGGCGTCGCAACCTCGATAGAAGCTCGCTCGCGAGTCTTGGCGAGGCTGACGCAGGCAAGTGCTCGCCCCACAGATGGTCCCGACTCGAAGGCCTGGATGAGGTGGAAGAGCTGGAGATCCTGCTCGAGCACTATGGCGTCAGCTGGGCAACTCGAGAGAGGGGGACAAACCTATTGGAGACCGACGGAGGGCAGCCAGAAAGCTGAATCAAGCATCATGTGTATCGAACATTGAGACAGAGCGCTTTGAATCTCGTCAAATTGTATTTGTATGTGTGCAGGTCCTTTGCGGCCTCTCGCCCTCAAGCATGTCACTCGAGCGACTGGGTTCGCTTGAGGATGTCGAACGCAGCGGCATTCCAAATGGAAGCTCTTTTACACGCCTTCTTCTTTCGCAATGTCGACCGGATCCCCCATCTCTCCAGGTGCGTTGACATCTGGCTTTGCAGCTTCCGAGACGCTGGCCGGAGCAGCCTCGACCGGGGCATTTGCCTTGACAGCGGCGGTGCCTTCGAGAACGATAGCCTCCACACCCTCCTGATCGAGTCCCTCCACCTTGAGTGCAGCATCCGCCGCCTTGATCGAAGCCTCGAGAGCTGCCTTGCTATCGTCCGCGACGGCGCTTTCGGTGCCTTGAGGCACCGCTGCAGCAGGCTCAGGAGGAACTGCATCGACAACCTTGGCCGCTTCGATAGGCTCTCCGACTGACGGCGCAAGACTGCCGCTCAAGCCCGAACCACTGGACAATGCTTTTGGTGGCGCCTGCTCAAATGCATGGTAACCTGCCTGAGGTCCGGCGTCGATGAGGCTCTGGGTGCCTGTAATGTTGATCGCCTCGGCATGTGTGGGAGGGACCGTGTGTACTGCAGGTCCAAAGTCTGCATACTTGGAGACAGAGTCGGGGAACTCTCTGAAAGCCACCGAGAGGTCAGCCGTTGAGATTGCTTGTACATGCGGCAGTGCGGAAGGATGACTCACCTGCAATTGAAGTCCCACGTCTTCTGGAGGCGACTTCGCTCGCAAGCTCGGCCCGTCCATTCTCCAGCGTAGGTGATTGGCGCATAGACGCTAAAGACAAATATCGTGAGCGCAATGAAGACTGCGGCCACTTGCAAGCGGAAGCGGGGGCGCAGAGACGAGGTGAGGACGTCAAAGACAGCTGCGACGAGTAGAATGCTGAAGTAGAGAGCGGGCAGGTAGTGGTGGATGAAGAGCTGGCGAGACATCAACCAGAAGGGAAGGTAGTGCATCGCCCAGCCAGTGAAGAGAAAGCCACAAACTTGATCATAGTAGACGATGGCGGCTGCAAGGCACATGGGCTAGATGTCAGCTTCTTGTTTTGACAAAGCAATGAGGCTATTGATCTCACAATCATTGAAGTCCCGCTTTCCTCGCTTTGCCCTGAGCATCAAGACAGCTCGAGCGCCCAGGTATACCAGGATGGCAACCAGCGCTCCGTACCAAACTAGCGGATTCCCGATCAAGTAAATCTGCCTGTGGTCCTTCGCCCAGAAGTTGATTCCTCTCCGCAGCGTGGGCCAGGTCGAAGGACGAGAATCGTAGGCGTGACGCTCAGTCAATCCAGCGTTCGTCTCCCACATGACACGCTGCAGCTCCTTGAAACGAGCCCAGAAAGACGGGGCTAGATAGTTTACCAAGTCAATCCCTAGCCGTCTGCGCTCTTGCGCTGTCTCCGGAGAAAGGCCCCCGTCTTCGATGCGAGGATGCGTGTTCGTTTCTATGAACCACAAGCTGTTGCTCATCTGAGGGTTCTTGTTGCACGTGACCTCCTGCTGGCCGAAACCCCAGTCAGGAAGCGGAATTTTGTGACTGAAAAGATAGCAGCCGGTCAAAGTGTGGCGGAAGCGGATGGTGGAGCGCAAAGCGCGGACGCGGCGACGAGACCGAGGGTCACTAGGTTCATGGCTTTCAATTTCGACGTGCCAATTGTCGTTGGCATCACCGAGGAAACCTGGGAAACCATAGCCAGTGACTTCGTTCTGGTAGTCGCTTTCAGTGATGGGAGGACGGTTCGAGTCGTGAGAGTGAAGGCGCTTGTCTGACTTGCGGTGAATCAAACGGACTTCCATGCCGTGTTTGAGAAATTCGATCTGTCCAGTCTTGTACCTCTCAATGTCGTGTGGTCCGTCGACGCTGAGGGGAACTCCGTCGGCATCCACAGGTGGTGGGGGATCGTCTGGGCCTGGCGCACCGACAATGTACCATTCGTTGTTCTCGTCTCGGTGCGGGTACAGAGTGATCTGCTGTTGCCCGCTGCCGCCTGGGTAGTTGTGCAGATGAGAATGGAGGTAGCCCCCTTGCGTGTTCTTGTGCCGGATGCTGACGGTCGATCCGAGGGCGACATCTGCGTACGTGTCGGGCATCGAATGGCCTCGGAGGGTGTGCTGAAATCCAGACGACATAAATGCATCGCCTTCCCCGCTACGATTAAGAACGGCAAGGTGGATTGAAAAGGTAAAGAGATAGAACAGGAAAGGCAAGAAGATGAGCAACGCTGCACGCGCAGCAAAGTGCTGCCCGACTCGCGACATGGGCTGCCGGACGTCGCCTAAGTGCGCCCAAAGCTGGAAAATGGTATTGAGCCCGATGGTCGCAATCGTGAAGAGGCCGACCCACTTCACGCTGGCAACAGCACCGAGACCTGCGCCGGTGAAAGTGAGCCAGACCCACCACTCTCGACCAAACGTGCGACGCTTGTCCTCGATGCAGAAAGACACCCAGCAGAACGTCGTGATGGCAGTGAAGAAGAGCAAAGGCGAATCGAGGAGGATGAGGCGCGACTGAGTGGTCAGCGCATTGTCGAAGGTGACGAGCATCGCCCCCACCAAGGCGGAGGTGCCTCTCAAGGACAATGCACGGAGCGTCAAGTAGCTCAAGGGAGCGAGAGCGACGCCCATGAGGGCTGGAAGCAGGCGCATGGCCACGTAAGGCACTGGTCTGTGATCTTCGCCTATGAGGTACTCCTTGCCGATCTCTTTAAAGTCGAAATCGCCGCGGAAGCCAGCTAGCCAGGCAACAAACGCGAAAAGGAGCTTGCCCAAGGGCGGGTGCACGTCCATGAAAAATCTCTGATTGATGTACTTCGTCGCGAATCCTCCAAAGTGCACTTCATCGAATCTGAACAGACGAAGCAGTGAACAAGGACGAGAATCAGACATCAGCGACAGAGCACTAGGCGATGCGGAGGAAGAAGAGGTGTGCACACGAGTGTATGCGACGGTGCGACCTCGCTAGAGCAGCACTCACACAACACTGCTGGGTGCGCTCAGGTGCCATGTGCGGACCACCAAAGCGATGAAGGTGACGCCAGCTACCAGCAGCACCTCGGTGCTGGGCAGGGCGAGGGAAGCATCGAGAGCATGAGCATCTGCATGGGATGATGCGCCTCCTAGACGCTTGTCTGCCAACGAAGCTGCTCGTTGCGGCGGTCTTGACGCTGCTTTGTCGTGCACCGAGTCGTAGCTGGAGGCGTAAGAGCCGTCGTTGGATGCGACGAGGTTGCCATTGGCATTGGCCACGCCTCTGGAGCGCATGGACAGCGCCGTCGGTCCGAGGGAAGCCATGGCGTGTGCGCCAAATTTGGGCCAAGGTGATATTCACGATCGATGTTTGTGGAGGAGAGCGTGTCGCTGGCAAGGGCAGACGAATGGCGCGTGATTGCGCTGCCCTCGACGCGTCGAGGCGATGTGAGGTGGGAGAGAGAGGGAAAGAAAGAAAGGAAGGAAGCGAGGAAAGGATGGACGAAGTAGGCAGATGCAAAAGGTGAGAGAGAGAGCGCGGGGGGTCCTGCCTCTGCCTGACTGGATCTATGTTGTTGCGAACACGAACGGCAAGGCCGGTGCGGGTCAGGAGAGGAATGATAGCGCGCGCAGCCAGTGCCAGGGTCTAGAGGTGCAGAGTCGGTGTTCCGGTGTTCGAGCTGGTGACTGTCGCGGTGAAGAGTTGTCGGAGACACAATGGTCGTCGAGGAGAGACTCTGATAGGTGACTTGTGACTCCTGGGTGACTTACACTTTCGACTTTGAACTCACCTGTTCGACTTGACCGTGTAGCCGACCGATGTGGTGAGTGCCCCTGCTGCATGGCGGCCTTGGTCGCTTTATCGATGTGCCCGCCTGGTGTGCGAACGAAGCTTTGACAGGCATTGCATTGCATCCAGCCAGCCAGCCAGCCAGCCTTGCCAGTCCAGCAAGCCCAGCTGCAGCGAGCGAGCGCCGCTGATCGCGCAAAGCCATCCATCCAATCGTCAATCCATACATGAACTCCGCGCTCTCCGTCAATTGTGAGTCTGGTCAATGGAATGTGCGCGCGCAAATCAGCCTTTCCAGGCACGCATGCCCGGACCGCATTGCATCCTCGTCACGTCGGGCAGTACGCCTGCCATGCGTACAAACTTTCGGCATGTTGCCCGCATCCATGATCATGCGGCACCGTCCAGAGTCAAGAGTCGGCGCACGGTCTGAACCTTCCAAAATTGCTATCGCCACGTGACAAGATCCTATAGCGTCCCACTATTGACTCCCTTTCTCTTGTGGCTTCAATTCACGATTCAGATTTCAAAAGTATGTGTATGCCCTCGTCGATTTTGTTTCGGCGTTTGGTGAATGCTCGGACTTTACCGTAAGCTGCCAGGATGATCACGCCTTCACCACAAGTCACACACAGTCACGAGTACATGTATGCAGGTTCATCATCACATCATCTTCCCAACACATCCTCATCCACCAATCATATACAGCTTCTCGCAGCAAAAGGCCGCCTCAGCATCGCACGCTCCCACGATCATCATCATCACCACCACCAAGCACGCCACAGTGGTCTGTCAGACCCAGCATCACCATTCATCGCCATGTCCAGTGGTGTTATCAACGGAGTCTCCCAACCCGCCTTGACGGTGGCAAACCCGCAGACGTCGGAAAAGGCCGTCAATCCTTTGAACCCAAAAGGCATCAAACCGTGAGTGCGAGGTATTGGTATGGATGCTGATGCGGATGCGCGGGTGACCAGATCTCTCGTGCCATGATCTGACCTCGCTCCTCCACATCTGCTGCTTGCTCATCCATCTGCAGCTGTTGTGCATGTCCGGACACGAAAGCGGCGAGGGATGACTGCTTCTTGAGGTACGGTCATTCGGTAGAGGAGCACGGAGAACAGGCTCGAAAGTGCGAGGATCTCGTCTCCCAGCACAGGGCTTGCATGGCACAACTCGGCTTCAAGATCTGAACCCATCCGCACAGCCAAATCTCGTGTCATGCAACCGCGCCTTCCTCTCTTCATCTGTGAGTATCTTAGCGTACGGGTGCTGCGACGAGCATCTGATTCGATCCTGCCATTCATGCGGCGCACAGGCAATGTACCATCCTCTCGCATGCCGCGCTCGTCTCGTTCGCAATGACATCACCGCTTTAATCTAAATCTAGACGCTGCGCACCAAGAACATGATCACGAAGGAGCAGCACGCAGACAATCGAGCTACAGCTTAGGGCAAGTGGTGGGGGTGATCATTACGCGGTGACTCGAATCATAGCAGGCATTGAGTGCATCTGAAGCTGTGTAGATCGAGCAGCGAGTGCAGACTCGTCTATTGAGTAGTAGTCTGATGGTTGGAGAGGTTGGGCTTAACCGTAAGCACGTTGCAAGTCACTCTCTGCTCGCGCGTACTCACCTTCTCGGCTCCCAGCAGAGACATGGTTGCCTCAAATGCCAGCAGAGCAGAAGCGTTGGTAGGGAATGCCCTCAGCAGGCAAGGAACGAAACCAGTGTAGAATGTTCGTATCCGCAAGTAGAGCGGGGCATTGGGACCAGCGTGGCTCCATACGCTGACAAAGGCCGAACGTATGGTTGGGAATTTTGGATTTTCAAGAGAGTCGGCCATCATGCGATTCTACACGAGACAGGAGGTTGGTCAGGTCGCGACACTTCTCTGCGTCGCGCAGAGTTTCACGAACCTTGATGACGTCAGCAGGAAACGCAGTCAGCCAGAAACACTCTGCTGCTAGCCCTCCACTGATGAATGTCGCTGTACCCGAGCCTATTTCCCACTTGGTGCCGTTCCACGATTCGAAGGTCCTTTGGAAGAAGTCATAGCTGCGAAGTCGCGACTGCTTTGAGCACAAAGCATCTGACGTCGAGAAGCCTGAATGGTGCCCTCACCTGCAGAACATGACCGCAAAGTTGCTTCTGAACATCAGAGTGGCCGGCAAAGTGCCCCATAATCCCATCAGGCCTTGTGCTCGAATGACTTGCCTCGCACAATCGATCGGCCCCGTGAAGCCGTGAACTTTTGCGACGTGTTCGCTAGCCTTTGAAGCCGCACTGATCCGCTGTGACTGCATCTGTAGCTTGGCTTTAAGCAGCTCGATTGGCGTTGTAAGGAACGAGTTGACCCAACCAGCGCTGATTGAAAAGACAAAGAAAGATGGATCTTAGGTCACAGATAGCTCAAGAGGTCAAGCAGCATCACTCACCCTAAACCAGCAGCAGCGTGTCCCCAAGGAGGCAGCCTCTTTCCAGTCCCTTCGCCAGTGTCCGTCGCCCTCTGCAATGCCAACCTCAGATTGTGAAGCGTTCCCATCAAAACCGCATCGGATATTCCCCACCCGACAAGAGGTGGTGTGGCACCTTTGTAGAGCGCTCGAAGGCCCTCTTTGCGAGCCAGCTGTAGGAAACAATCCAAAGGGCCTCTGTATGTGCCGTAAGGCGTACATTGCAGCCTCACTTTGATCTTTGCGACCAAGCGGACAAGATCATCGCTACATTCAGCTCGATGAGCCTGAATAGCACAGTTGCAGAAAGCCACATATCTCGGCCCTGTCTCGACACCACTCACCGTATCAAATGGGTGACCGACAGCCATCTTTGTTGCCCCGCTGACTATGCCAGCAAAGCTGCCCTTTGCGGATACCTTGCCCTCCTTCTTCGGTGGACTTGGAACGTTGTCTAATCTTCCTTGCGGTACTGCATCTGACGAGACGATGGCCGGTCCTTCTTGGCCCACGACCGCGCCTTGCGTGTACGGGCCTCGAGATGCTGGAGCCATGGCGTGGAGGACGAACGAGAGGGTCGGCGGTCTGGTGTACAGGCAGGCCCACGCAAGAAGCACCGCAAGGGGCCCCACGAACGGGAGAAGTGAGGATGAGTGTGAGGGAATGCTCAGATTTATCGTGAGGACCGCATTGTTGGGAATCCGCTTCGAAGAACGCTACTCCCACAGACTTGACGCAATCAACGCACAGCATGGTGGACTGACGTTAGCTAAGCCCATCTGTCAGCTGATCAAGCTGATGAAGATCTGCAGCGCAAAGGCCACTTCGACTCGCAACTTGCACCAGCAGCGACGCGTGACTTCCGTGAGCATGCGTGCAGCCGATTTGAAATCAGCCGCGCATGCACGCAGCAAGCCCCCCCTCCCTCCACGACAACTCACAACACAAATCGCGGTGCCTTCGATGAGCGCGAATTGGGTACGCAAAGGAATCGTGAATATGTCATCATCTCGATTCATCATCGATTGTCCAAATCACCTCCCTGCTTCAAATATACGACTGCTCTTCATACCACGTCTGTTCTGGTCCACATTTTGTCGTCCTTGCGTGGTGGCTCTTGGGAACCCTTAGCTTGCAAAAAGCGTCGTGTTCAGCGTGTTGATCCAGGTAGACACACTTTCCATTCTCATTCGTAATTTCGGGCGTCGAATCCTTCCAGACCGGCCAGTTGGTCTTGGGCCGCGGAACATCTGAAGTCAGGCTGCATGCAGCATAAGGCCACACACACTTCCTTCAAGGTTGGCTCTTCGGCAGCGCGATGTTGCCGGTGATTGCGACCGTCGGCAAGCGGACCTGTCGCTGTGAGCACAAGCTTCAAGATAGGTGACCATTCAGCGCCTCAAGGAAGCCAAGAGGTCCATGCATCTGCAATCGCACCTCTGCATGCCAGTCCCTGCTGTTGTACAAGACCAAGGTAATGGTTCAACGGCTGCTGTGACCGTTGGCAGCAACCTGGTGCGCCAATCAAGCTCACTCGTCTGCAGTCAACGCGGAGAGCACAAGCAGCAAATAGCTGCAAAGGCTCGTGCGCACAGTGTAGCCACTGCCCAGCAAATTGGCCTGCTTTCGCACAAGCGATTGACCAGCCGTTGTAGCCACGCCTGTGAAGCATCTGGTAGTGATGCTCGATGGGCGCATGCTATGAGGACAGATGTGCTGACTGTCCCGTGTTGAACGTGGCAGACTTGCTGGGCAAACTCAAGAGAAGTGTGCCCATGTGCATGATCCTTAGCCTGAGCTACTTTTGAGTGGGTAGCTTTGGCCTCCAGGATGCCATGCGCTTATCAATGGCGTACTGGATGAGGCCTCGTCAAGGAGATCCATGAGCCACATGTTGCTCTCGTCGACATTCTCTGCTTTGTTCTGAGCAAGGATCTTGCGCACCGCCTCTCTACAAATGCGGCTCTTTGTTCGGCGGCGTCGTGCTTGACAATCGTGCAAGGCCTTCTCCTTCTGCTGGTTCTGCAGTTCAGAATTTCCTCGGCTCTTGTACCTTGCAAGCAACTGGTTGACGTGCGCAATCGCGATGATTCTGATTGCTGCATATTCCTCCACCTCTTTAGGCTCCATGTCATAGCGATTAGGATGGAGGCGCGCTTCTTCACGTCCCCAGGCAGCAGCTACTCGATCAACCAATCAGAGATTTGTCTCATATCCGCTTCCTTCTTCGACTACCCAACGAGGGCAAAAGAAACCTTGTCCCCCGTCGCGCTCTCCCGCTCTCGTGTGCGGCGCGGTATTGGGACAATCATCAGATGGAGGTCTACAAGCTGAGGTGGACGGCCATCGTCGGTGCAAGCAGCGCGTGAATAGAGATTCTGGCTTTGCGAGCGCTTTACGGCTATGAAGAGTGGACTTTCGAACAGCATATCGTTGGGGGCTTAGACACGTTTAAAGGGCTAAAGTAGAGGCAATGAGTGATCTGATCGGCGGGTGGAGTGGATCGCCTGCTGGACTGAGTGGTCGTGGCGAGAGGCATGACGGCTGTCGGGGCTGACGAAATCCAAGCGATATGCTGATGTCGGCATGGGGGCAGAATCTCCACAACGATGCCCGATGTCGTTGTCCAACAACATCATTGAGCAGCATCTGCGTGGGGCAGTCGCATGTATCTTTGGCAACGCTGACCCAATGTGGATTGGCTGCAGCTCCTGGTTGGTGTCATCGTTGTTCCCTTCGCCCCAGAAAGTACGGACGGCATAAAAGCGAGCCTTTTGAATTTTTACGAGGGGATTTCTCAAAAACCTCAAAGGGACGTAAGTATTACTGCTTGTACTCGAGATATGTGCGTCATTACGCTATTCAGTAAAGGATGTGGACAAAGGCGCGTCTACCCTCATAGTCACGAATTTCATCGCGCGTCGCGATCATGAGCTGAAGCCAGACCCCAGCACGATTGCAGTTGCTACCGCGCGGCCAGCTCACCTCTAGCCATGATTGCAACGCTCTGTAGCTATCCATCAATGCAGAGTCCTGGCTTCCAGAGCAATGCGAGGAGGTACACAACGAATCGGAGACTACGAAGCCAGGGTGAGGGCACCCAAAGACCCAACCAGCTTGTCCCGCTTGTCGACAAACTTTCCGTCTCGGATGCTAACCCCCATTAATTCCCTCACAGTCATCGAGAGAACCAGTATCACTGCTCCAATTCCATGAGTGTTGTGGCTGCTGCGGTTGGCGTCAGGATGGCCCTTGGCCTGGCTGCTGGCATGGCAAGGTAGCTATCGATAGCCGTCGCAAGCTACGCTACGGGTGTTGCGCCTAGTCTGTCGCGATGCTGACAAGCTCGAAGCTTTAATCATTTCCGTCCGCATGGAGAGGCCGCTCCTCTGGAGCTTAGCGGTCAGAAGTAGGACGTTTGCGGCCTAGTTCTTGCAACTTCAAGATGACGTCTGGCCCCTATAGCGCTCCGCAAGCCACCAAAGTGAGTAATTTTTCGGCAGCACTGCAGGACGGCATCGACTACAATATATCTGCTTTTGTGGCCGATCGTGCGCAAACAGAGACGTTACGTGGCCATGACAATTACGCGCGCATGCCTGGCTCCATGTTCGGCGATTTTGTGATAATTGGTACCCTTGTCACCTGACTGTGATCGGCTCCAACCTAGGAAAGTCAGGCTGACCTGGCTACTGTGCATTGCTGGGTGCTCCAGCAGAATATTGCCACGCTATGCTTGTTGATTCACCCATTTCATTGACTCATTCTCCTTTGCGCCAAATTGCTTTGCACGCACTCAATAAGCCCTACCCTTAAAGGGGCACTTTTGATTCAGTCTGACTGATGGCTGACTTCTTGTGCCCTGATCGGTATCCAGGTGCAGTCGAGCCTGTTGTCTCCGCTGGAAGTAGCTTGAGATAGCGTACTAGATATTTCCTGGCTGATAATAATCCGTTAGAGATTGGATAGCAGCCCGTGGCGAGCGAATCATGCGAGGTAAAAACAGTAAAACTAGAGGCACTCCAAAAGATGTAATCATAAAGTGTGACGAACTGAAAAACGGAATTAAGCGAGAGCGATCATGCAATTCGACGCCTGCGGCGTACTACGTGCTTCAGATGGGTAAAAGAACTCGGATCTAGCTCGACTTACCTTCACTGCAGACCTTTCAGAAAACAATTACTGAGTCAAAACGAAGTTGGGATTGTGTCTCGTTTGTTGTGGAAAGGAAGGCAGTTGTAGCGGTCAACTCGAACGCGTGCATTCGCGTGACGCATCGGAGCCCCCTCTCTATTGCCGTCGAAGTGACCCACTGGCGCTCCTACACCTTCGCAATTTAACCTTGTGACAATTACATCATCTCTCAACAATGAAGCCCGAATACCTGACGATTGAAATTCTCCAGCCTTTACGGGCTTTGTAGGTGGCGCCACCTTGAATGACAGTGACTTAGCCACAAGACATGATGTATGTCTTGTCTTGCGTCTCCTCTTACTTCCGCCACTGCTCGAAAAACACTTGATCTTTCCTCATTCGGTCAGAAGCTACTGATGACTCCCTTTCCTTGAATGCTTTGGATGCGATGGACTTCCCGACCTTTGCTTGTTTCGACGATGCGGCCCTTGCTCAGCGAGTTGAGTCGTTTAAACCTATCAATGCGGCTTGGAAACCCTTGGAAGCTACAGAATGCTCTGAGGCGCTTTCTTTTGCCAGTATCCAACTTGAAGTCTGCGTTAGCTTCAAGCACTTTGGTCACGGGACGTTTGCTTCAGTCTCCAGTTAACGAGGTTTCTTACGCAAACGGAGGCGCGTCGAACTGTGTCCACCACGCCAACAACGCGAAAACCAGCGTCATCCGCGGCTGGACCATCTATGCTGGCCTCCATAGACACCTCCAGCACACTCTCTTCCGACGCTCGTTCCCTGTCCCAGCTCAGAGCCACACTTTGGAGCGAAAGAAAGGCGTGCTGTGTCCGGCTTGCCGGTGAGTCTGCTCAAGCCGCTGCCACTGCCCAAAAGTGATTTATTTTTCAGCCTCATGCGCACCTACTGTCGCTCGAGGAAACAAGCAAAACAGCTGACAGGGCCACCGGCGCTTCAGGATCCTTCAGATGCGCTCTCAAAAATCCGAACAGCTTTTCGAGTATGTGATCATTGGTCCAGATGGAGCACTGACTAGGAGAAGAAATTCTAGCTGTACAATAGGTACGCGATCAGTACACCGAAAATCGTCGCCAAGTTGTGTAATGATGCTCAGCGCCGCTGGAAGTTGGACTCTCTTCAAAACAGGTGTCTCTAACATAAACAAACGAGTGAGAGGTGTTTCAACCATATGCTACCAGAACGAGTAGTACTCGCATTAGAGAGGATGCGAAGCAAGCTCTGTCGACAAAGTACCATCACTTGCGATCCAATGGGCTGATGCTCTGTTGTTCTACATCAAGGACGTCGTCACACTCAAGCTGCGGCTCTCAAGCATCAAGGAGCCCTTATCTCAAGCATTTCAGGCAGGCAGTGCGGAGTGGGAGTGGGAGTGGGAGTGGGAGTGGTAAAGGCAGTGCCACAAGTCATTCGAAACCAGGCTTCTAACCGGCCGTGATCGTGGTGAGCTTGGCGACACCTACGAATAAGTCCCTCTCATTTTGTGTCAGACCTCTGCCTTCAGCTCGTAGTGGCAATGCGGTTCGTATTTTTAGGCGTTCGTGGGCACACAATAATTTTAATGTTTATCCGCGGTAGCGCTATCTTTTGCTAGCAACTTACAGCGAAAAGCCATTCTGGTCGACGATGATTAATTCGAAACAATGAAAAACTCATGGTGCAAGCACCAGAGAGGATCGTTTCCACTCGGACAAGCACCTGAGGCATTCCTGCATTCCAGTCGATGACAGTCGAACAAGCACGTGAAGCATATAGAATTTGACGTCTTGTTTCGCCAAATGATTGTTCGCGTTCGCTTTACATTCTGTCACCCTGTTTTGGTGCGCTAGAAAATGTGCCAAACTTTCTTGTATGGCTACAGAGCTAGCTGTCGTCAAGCGTGGATATCACGAGCTGCCCTACTATCAAAGCTGCAACCTGCCGCTAACCGGTGCTGTTTGTGACGTCCTGTAATGAAAACAAATGGGCGCCGCGAAACACCGGATCTATATGAGACTCGGCTCTCTGCGGCGTGTTCCAAAAGCGAACCATTGCGAGTTCTACAGAGCCGCATTCAAGTGGCGAATATAGTTGCATCAATATCCGAATAAGCGAGTGCCCCAAATTATCTCAGCTTCGAAGCAAAATTGATCTCCAAATATCTTTTGCTTCTGTGACTGCCAGGGAGCTGAGACCTCAACGCACTGTACTATGTCTGCATGTCTTCGTGCAGGTTGATGCTAAGCGCTAGTTTGCGGAGTGCGCAGTAAGGACGAGTGGTCTGGACAGGTCACAAGCGTTCTCATAGCTCCACAGTAGGTCACTACAAGTTTGCACTGGGTCTTGCAAGATACCGGCTCAGAGCGGCAGCAGTCCACTACAAGCCTGCATCACATGTCATTGTAACACAAGCGCAAAGTTTTGGCAGTGCTTTGTGGCCAATCGAGGAATGTGACGAGTACCTGCACGGAGCTCTTCTTGGAAGGTCTCCAAGTTGCACGATTTGGAGAGTTTGAAGACGTACTACAATGCTCAAAGCATGAGTCTTTGTTACTGAAGCATTGACATGAAGAAATGTGTGCAGACGCCAAGATCAGGCCAAGGCGGTGGCACTCGCCATGCTGGAAGAATGGCTCTCCATGCCTTCACTTGGTCTGTGAGCTCTTTGGCGATCTTGGCGCTGAGCGCATCCTCTGCAAAGAGATATCCACAATCTTTTTGTTGCTCGCAACGCTTGGCAACACCTTCCATTGCCTCAAGCACACTTGGCCAACCTTGGGTTGCTTACAACTGCCGCTTGATGCTGAAAGCAACGGGCCACTGTGTGACAAACTTGCCCAAGCTTCTTGGCGCATGTGTGGGTGCTTCTGACACCTTCTTAGCAAGCTCTACCGCCTCACAGATAGCCGGCTGTACAGAGGTAGATCAGGCACTTTTAGAACGCTGCCTGGAGGGCCCATACCTGACAATACCCTCATCATGGACAATAATGGCAAGGTGGCTGCAAGTGGCATTGTCTGTGATGCAAATCATCAGCTGGAATGATTCTCTGCACAGCTCCCTCATGAAGTGTTGATTCTTTGATTGTTGATGCCAGTGGTTGTTTAGAGGGTAGCAAGCATTGCTGACAATGGATCCAAAGACGTGAATTGCTGCTGTGCCATTGAGGACACTCAAGGACAATCCATGCAAATCTCTGTTCACTAAAACCTTGCCACAATCTTCACTGCCCAGATTAGTCAAGAGGTGACAGAATACTTTTGCAGGCTTGCATCAAGCCACATGGAGGCATTGACCAGCACTCTGGGGCAGAAGATTTCACCTTTGAAGGGCTCAGCTCCAACTTGCATGCCAGCCAAAGTAACACAAGGCCTTCCATCTTCTTCAACATTGGTGCTGCCACAGATTTTGAGAGTTTGGGGGCACAATTCTACCTTTTGGACTTTTCATTCCTGGTGTTTGATGGCACTATTGCTCACCAAACCATCCCACCAGGTGGCAAGAGCAAGCCAGGGGTGGGTTGCTTTGGAGTTTCCACATACATGAAGACCCAACTGGACCCCAATTGCATTGAGGGTGTGGATATAGGTACAGGGCAGGTAAAGGAGCTGGCCAAAGCTGCTGCCGGCTTTGCTTGGGGGCGTCCAGGCAATCTGGAGTGATGGAGGCGGTCAGGCAATTTGACAAATCAGTCCATTGTGCTTGTAAGACGGAAGCGGGTGCGCCGCATGTGTAGGGTTAATGCCACCTGGGCCATTAACTGGAGGGCTGAAGCGGCTTGCGAATTTGCTGGCAAAATGACTGCGTTGGCAACAAAGTGCTGACATTGATGGATGAGATCAAGGTGACACGTGGGCGCACAGGAGAGGAGTCAGAGCGTGCGAGATAGGCACGCTACCTGGAGAAGCGCAAGCATGGTTTTGTATTTGGGTAGACCAAGGTCGATGTGTTGCTAGTGGGTGACTTTGGGGCGGGGCTGTCTTCATCCATGCCATCTGAATTGCTCATGGCATCGGAGCTCGTCTTGCTGTTTGCTTGCAACGCCTGCCTTGAGATGCGCAAGGCTGTGATTGCTGTGAGTGAGCCTTGGGCACGGGTGATCACAAGATCAGTGATGTTGTGGATGCGGTCAGACGTGCTAGGAGATCTGAGCGCAGGTGGAATGCTGGCTAGACTGCGCAGCTCTTGCATCTCAAGAGAGCTCTGCCTTAGGGCCTTGGTTGGGTCGAACGCATCGGCCATCTTGACCAAGGCTTAGGGTAGACATACATCACCTTGTCAGCGTCCAAAAGTCTGTCCTCAGGAGGCCTGTCCTCTGGGCTGACGCTTGTAGAAACCACTCACCAATTTGCTCAAGGCGTCTGCGCCCTTTTTGCTGTTTGTTTGCAATGATGACCTTGACGCGCGCAACGCTGGTATAGCAGTGAGGCCAACTCACCAGCAGACACGTTGGCAAGCAAGCTTGCACACAATGACCACAATGAGCTGAGGTCAGAGACGGAGGTATTGCGCTTCTTGCGCCTGAGAGGAGGAAATGGAGACAGATTGCCATCATTATTGCATCTGTTGTGGTTGTTGTCATTGCTGAAGTCTTCATGTTAACGTTGTGGTGTCTTGGCGATGCCAACTGCTGCCATGTGCGCATTCAAGGCCTGTTTGTGCATTCATTCTGACCTGTCAGCAGTTGGTAACAACACCACTGTATCGCTGTTGCTTGCTTGCTTGCTCACCAACCATCATCTCCATTGTCAGGTAAACAAACTGACGCTTCATCTCTGCAATGTTGAGTGTTGGAGTATACTGAACAATCTTGCACTTGTTTGTTGACCTTGAGTGTTGCTTCAAAGACAGTGATCTGCGAGTTTGAAGCAATGGCAGGCATGAGTCAGAACGGTGCTAGCTTGATGCGCTAGACCTCTCTCAGACACGGTCCCCAAGGCCAAAGACACTGCCAAGCGCAACACAATCTTTGAGGCAATTCTCTGCAAGGAACGCCTGGAGGAGGCCTGTAAACAGAACAAGATCAAGGAGTTGGCCGTCAAGCTAATGAAATCTGTGAGTCTGATTGAGCCCAGCCTTGTTCTCAATCATTTCCCCATCATTCTTGGTTGTCTCTTTGGCTGAACATTCATCTCTGCTTTGAGTATCCAGCTCTCAGACCGCTTGATGGAGGCAGACAGCCTCCTGGACCAGAAGGAGCATTGAACTCATGAGGAGAACAAGGAGTAGATGCACCTAGCCTGAGGTCCTCTGTGAGTCTCATTGACAAGCTATTACCTGTGATCTTGATTTTCCGTGTGACTGACCATATATGACCATCTGTCTGATTGTGTGGACTGCAGGGCTTTTTACTTGTGTCAACCTCATGTTGCCTACTTTTTCCAGCTCCCTCTGCCATGCAACACCACACCACGCCACGCCACGCCACGCGCTCTCGCCCTGGTCAGCGGACTCAGCACCTTCTTAGAGGCAGAACCAGGAGACAGTGTCTTCCCTTAGCCGGTCTTAACCTCATTTCAACGTGACCAAGCTAGCTGGGATACCGCAACTGCTGAGGATTGTCTTGCAAGGCTGGCTCAATCAAGAGCTCCTCATTGTCCCAGCTATTGATGAAGGGGTCCTCAAGAACAGCCCACTGCTCAAGGAACCGCTCAGTCATCTCGTGTACTTGCAGAGCGCACTGTATCGAGCGGCAGAAGAGGTAGGAAGCGGCATCTTGGAGCTCTTTGACTCGAGCAAAGTCAAGACCCAGCTCATTTTGAGATTTATTAGAAACTGCACTGCTGGAGGCAGTGGCACCTGGGGTGGGATGGCCGCCAGGCTCGCCCAAAAGAGGTTCTGGCAACTTGTAACCGCCTTAACTGTAGGCAACCTGTAGAGCTTCCTTGTTGGTTGTTGGGCTTGATCCATGCGGGGCTGCACGCCCCAGCATCTTGGCCAATGTCTGATTGCGCCAGTAATAGGTAACCTGCATTAGTGCAAAGATACATGACATGAAACTATCTCTGCTGCTGTAACTGACTAATTTGACATAAAGTGAAATCAAATGATCTTACACCGTAGCCCCCAGGCAACTCTTATGGCACTCACCATTGACCTTGCGCTAGCTTCGAATCCTTGCGCATTGCCTTTGGCAGATCATACGTACTGGCACGGCACCTAAGACTAAGGAGCCAGCCAGGTCTCCTATCACCGTCTTCTTCGGACAGCAGTTTGGACAGCAGTTCGGACAGCAGTTTGGACAGCGATGACGATAGTTCCTTGAGCAATTCGGACGCAATGGCAGTTCTTGAAGAGGAGCCCCAGCCTTCATCCTCGCGCGCCAAGCTTCCCAATAAGGCAAAACGCCTTCTTCTGCTACAACACCAACCAGCTCACCCAAGCTTAACAATAGGCGCCTAACGGGGCCTGTGCCGGATTGGGCAGAGGAGGTTGACAACGCTAAGAGCTGCAAAGAGGCTAAAGCTCTTAGAAGAAGATGTCCAGTGATGGGATGAGAAGCAGGTAGAGCGAGACGAACGAGGCGCCAAGAAGACAGTCCGAAAGCTCCCTCAAGACGTCTTCTTGCTGGCATCTTTCAGAATGCGGCTTCTGGAACCCTCGCTTTTGGATGGGCGGCAAGGAAGCTGCTCAGCACGGATTTTTCCAGGGCGCGGTCCACCTCGTCCAGATTGATCTTTGATGAGCTAGGCAGCTGCTTGGCAGCACCAGCACGGAGATCGCCTCTGAATGGTTCTTGGAAGAGTTTGCTTGTTTTGGCTTTGGTGGTGAGCGCCTCAATGTTCTCCCAAAAGCCTGGGGGAGTGGGAGGAAAGTAAGTTGGAGACTTGATTCCTCCGTCACTGCAGACCAATCCAAGCTCTGCTTCTGCTTCCTTTTGGTGCGGTGGTTCAGACACCTCCAACTGAGCATCGGCATTGTCTTCTCAATTCTCCTTGTCCAGAGAGGTGCCCAAGGTTGCTGTGCACAAGGGTGAAGCTTGTGAGGTCGCAGTACTCGAGGTTGCCGTGCGCAAGGTTGCGGTGCGGGAGGTGGACGCTCTTGATGCTGTCGAGTGCAATGCCAGAGTTGAAGACTCTGCCAGGTAGACCCTGGTCACCTCCACTTGAGTCCCTTCTTCAAGCTCAAGGAATTGATGCTGAGACCATTTTCCCCTGTAGCTTCCCATTATTCAGCCACTGGACGGTGCGCCAAATTGAATGGGGAGGGCCCATGACATTGGCCCTGATCCTGCGCGTGGTGTTGTACATGCCTCTGTGACCGTTGCCCCCGCCCAATCTGCCGCCTGATCCACTGCCTCCACCAGATCCGCACCGCCTGGTCCTTCCGGCCCGCCTCTGGTGGAGTCGTCCAAGTCTTCATCATCGCCATCAGGAGCATACCCTGTGCGGTATCCTGCCACGAGATCTAGCTGATACAGCTCTGTCTTGGCATTGAAAATGAGCTGCGCAACATTGCTGGCTTCTAGACCTGCCTCCAAGACCGCAATACTTGCACAGGCCTCTACTGCCCAATAGACTGCTGTGCAGAGGTAGATCAGGCGCATATATGCTTGTGCCTGCAACAGACCATACTTGACTACGCCCTCATTGTGAATAATGACAGCAAGAGTGCTGCAGACAGTGTCCTTGGTGATGCAAATTGTCAGCAGGAAAGTTTGACCACACAGCTCCCTGATGGGCTGCTCATTGGTGGACCTTCTGTGCCAGTATGCATTCAGGGGGTGATGAGCGTTGGTGACTATGTCCCCAAGCAAGTGAATAGGCACTGTGCCATGAACAACCTCCAAGAGACAATCCACCCCAACTTCTGCCCTAATTGCCTCAAGAATGTCACGGAGATGCTGTGCCAGCAGGCAAGCCACCTGACTAGATCCAATGCGCACACTTTGTGGTCAAAGCTAGAGGTTGACCAAAGTCAGCATGCTTCTGCAAGGGGAGTGCTTGCACGCCCACATGGACGCTGTGCGCGCCTCCTAACACCATCATCTCCTGTCGACCGTACCTTGAACTCACCAAGAAGATCAGTTGGACAGCCATCAGCACATGAAGGAGAATGTGCTGGTGATATACTCCAAAGGGAAAAAAGTCAACAACGTGACGAGATCCATAGGC